GAGAGAAGGGTAGAGAGGGAGAGAGAGGGAAGAGAGGGGAAGTGAGAGAAGGGAGAGAGAGGGAGAGGAGAAGAGAGGGAGAGAGAGGGGAGAGAGAGGGAGAGGGAGAAAAGAGAGAGAGAGCGAGAGAAAGAGAGAGAGAGAGAGAGAGAGAGAGAGAGAGAGAGAAGAGAGCGAGAGCTAGAGAGAGAGAAGAGAGCGGGAGGGATAGAGAGAGGGGAGGAGAGAGGGAAGAGAGGCGCGAGCGAGAGGGGCAGGCGCGGTATAGCGCACAAGCGTGAGAGAAGCGTTGCTAGCCAGAGAGAGAAAGAACGCAGAGAGCAAGAGAAATAGAGCCAGCACGAGCGACAGAGAGCAGAGAGAACGACAGAGAGCGACCGCGCGAGAAAGCGAGAGAAAGAGAGAGAGCAAGAGAGAGAGACAGAGAGAGAAAGCGAGAGAGAGGAGAGAGAGAGAGAGAGAGAGAGAGAGAGATGAGAGAGCGAGCGCTAGAGAGCGTACGAGGAACGAGAGTAGAGAACGAGAGCAGAAAGATGATAGAGAGCAGAGAGAAGAGAGAGAGAGGAGAGAGAGAGAGAGAGAGAGAGAGAGAGAGAGAGAGACGAAAGAGAGAGAGAGAACAGGAGAGAGAGAAAGAGAAAGAAAGAGAGAAAAAGAGAGACGAGAAAGAGAGAGAGAAAGAGAGAAAGAGAGAAGTGAGAAAGAGAGAGAGAAAAGAGAAAAGATAGAGAGAGAAGAAAGAGAGAAAGAGAGAGAGAAAGAGAGAGAGAAAGAGCGAGAGATAGAGAGAGAGAAAGAGAGAAAGAGAAAGAAAAGAGAGAGAGAGAGAGAAAGAGCAGAGAAAAGAGAGAGAGAGAGAGAGAAAGAGAGAAAGGAGAGAGAGATAGAGAGAAAGAGAGAAAGAGAAAGAAAGAGAGAGAAGAAAGAAAGAAAGAGAGAAGAGAGAGAGAAAGAGAGAGAGAAATAGAGAGAGAGAAAGAGAGAAAGAAAAGAGAGAAAGAGAGAAAGAGAGAGAGAAAGAGTGAGAGAAAGAGAGAGGAGAAAGAAAGAAAGAGAGAGAGAGAGAGAGAAAGAGAGAGAAAAGAGAGAGAAGAACGAGAGAGAAAGAGAGAGAAAAGAGAGAGAGAAAGAGAGAGAGACCGAGAGAGAGAGAGAGAGAGTGTGAGAGTGAGTGTAGTGTGAGTGTACTCACCTACCTAGTTGTAGGTTGCAGGGGTCGAGTCCCAAGCTCCTGCCCCGCCTCTTCACTGGTCATCCCATACTATCTACTAGGTCACTCTCCCTGAACCGTGGAGCTTTATCATACTCTGTTTTAAAGCTATGTATGGATCCTGCCTCCCTACATTGCTTCCCAAACTAAAAAAAAAAAAAAATATATTTCTAACTTCCCTGATTACTCTGTGGCGAAGAAATACTTTCTAACATCCCTGTGATTCATCTGTGTCTTTCAACTTCCAATTGTGTCCCATCTCTGGAACCACCTGTCTTGTCCACCTTGTCACTTCCATCTCAGTATTTTGTAATGTCGTTAGTCATGCCCCATCACTCCCTGTCCTCCAGTGTCGTCAGGTAGATTTCCTTAACCTCTCCTCATAGGTCATTCCTCTTAGCTCTGGAACTAGCCTTGTGCAAACCTTTGCACTTGCTCTAATTTCTTTACGTGCTTGGCTAGGTGTGGGTTCCAAAACTGGTGCTGGAACTCCACTAGGGCCTAATGTACACGGTTACAGTCCTAACCGATTCCTATTAAGAAATGTCGGAATGCTGTTCGAGGTTGCTATCCGCCCATATTGCTGCAGCAGTTATTTGGGTTGATGTGCGCTTCAAGAGATTGCTGGTGTTATACTCACCCCAAGATCTTTTTTCCTCGAGCGAGGTTTTGTAGTCCTCTGCCTCCTAGATTGTATCATCTGTGGTCTTCCTTGCCCTTCCCCCATCATTCATGATTTTGCACTTTGTGGGGTTTGAATCTCCAGGAGCCATAGCTGGACCAGGTCTGCAAGCGCTGTCCAGATCCTTGTAGTTCTGCTGTCTTCCGATCGGAATGAATTCTCATCAACTTCCACGTCATCTGCAAACAGGGACACTTCAGATCTATTCCTTCCGACTTGTCATTCAAAATACCAGAAACAGACTGGTCCTAGGAAATGACCCCTGTTATGACCCGCTGGTCACAGGTGCCCTTCGTTCTGATCTGACACCTCTCCACACCATGACTCCGCTGCTGTCTCCTGAACAGTATTCCCCTGATCCATTGTAGTGCCTTCCCTGTTATCCCTGCTTGGACCTCCAGTTTTTGCACTAATCTCTTGTGTAGAACTGTGTCAACACCTTTCTTGCAGCCCAAGAAAATGCAATTCCACCTTACCACCCCTCTCTCTCTGTGTCTTACTGCTGTCACCGATGTCATAGACCTCCAGTAGTTTGTGACACAGATTTCCTGTCCCTGAAACATGTAGGCTGCTGTTGATGAGACATTCCTTTCTAGGGTGTGCCACTACGCTCGATAATCTTCTCCATATTGTTCTTACTATACATGTCAGTGACACTGGTCCTGTAGTTTAGTGCTTCAAGGCTGTCTCCTTTTTAAAGAATTGGGACTACATTGCTGTCTTCCATGCCTCAGGCAATCTCCTTGTTTTGATAATGTATTAATATTGTTGTTAAGAGGTACACATAGCACCTCTGCACCCTCTCTCGGACCCATGGGGAGATGTCAACTGGCCCCATTGCCTTTGAGGTATCTAGCTCACTCAGAAGCCTCTTCATGTGAACACTTCTTTGAATCTCTTGTTGAGTTCCTCACATACTTCATGGTCATTTCTTGTTGTCTCTCACTTCCTTCCTTCCTTAGCCTGATTACCTGGTCCCTTGACTGTGTTTTCCCTCCTGATGTGCTGTATAACAGTTTCAGGGTCCGATTTGCTTTCGCTGCTATGTCGTTTTTCATATTTCTTTGGGCCTCCCTTCTTATCTGTGCAATATTCGTTTCTGGCTCTACGACTGCTCTCCTTATTCTCCTGGTCCTGTGCCTTCTATATCTCTTCCTCCCCAAGCACACTTGGTTTTTGCCTCCCTGCACCTTTGTGAACCATGGGCTCACCTGGCTTTTTCATATTCCGTTAACCCTTGGGTACAAAAACCTCTCCTCAGCCTCCTTTGCTATTGTTGCTACATATCCATCATCTCATTAACTGCCTTCCCTGCCAGTTCTCTGTCCCACTGAACCCTGTTCAGGAAGCTCCTCATTCCCATGTAGTCCCCTTTCTTGTAGTTTGGCTTCATTCGTCCTGGCCTTCCTGCTTCTCCCTCCACTTGTAGCTCTACTGTGTATTCAAAGCTTAAAACCACATGATCGCTGGCCCCAAGGGGTCTTTCATATGTGATGTCCTCGATATCTGCACTACTCAAGGTGAATACTAAGTCCAGCCTTGCTAGTTCATCCTCTCCTCTCTCTCTTGTAGTGTCCTTATGTGTTGGTACATGAAGTTTTCCAGTACCACCTCCATCATCTTGGCCCTCCATGTATCTTGGCCCCCATGCAGCTCCAAGTTCTGTGTGTGTGTGTGTGTGTGTGTGTGTGTGTGTGTGTGTGTGTGTGTTGTGTGTGTGTGTGTGTGTGTGTGTGTGTGTGTGTGTGTGTGTGTGTGTGTGTGTGTGTGTGTACTCACCTATTTGTGGTTGCAGGGGTCGAGTGTGTGTGTGTGTGTGTGTGTGTGTGTGTGTGTGTGTGTGTGTGTGTGTGTGTGTGTGTGTGTGTGTGGTGTGTGTGTGTGTGTGTGTGCGCTCGTGTGCGTGCGTGCGTGTGTGCGTGCGTGCGTGTGCGTGCGTGCATTTATTTTGTTGGATTTGGGCCTCAGGACGAGGTTAACAAAGCCATGAGGAAGACTGTGGAGTTAGCAAGGCTAGTTGGTGATGAAGGGCTCAAGGACATGCAGGGTGAAGCGAGAGAACTGGTTGAAGAATATGCACTGGGCTAAATGATGAAGAATTGTTCGAGATTGTCCAGGCAGAGATTGAGGATGAAGAAGAGGAGTGTGTTGCTGAGGCCAATCGACCTCAAGCCCTCCCCCTTGAAAAACTAGGGCAACCGATGAGAATGACAGCACAGCTCAAAAAAATTTTTTACGACACAGACCCATCAATGTTGAGGGCTTTGAAGGTGATGAGTGGCACTGATAGGAGCATAATTCCCTACAAAACTCTGTTTGTCGATATGAAGAGGAAACGGTCTCAGTTGCCCATCACAATGTTCTTCACAAGGAAGCCTGCACTACCCCTGCCGCTGCCCCTACCACCTCACCTGAATCTCAACCCGTGGCAGAATCTGACTCCATTGCTAACTCTGGCTCTAGTGATATTGGCAGTGAAGAGTTAGAATCCACACACTAGACTCATCATGTCATGCAGTTACACTCCATATAATCACCTCCATTCAACTGTCATCAGTAACTGCATGGCTATCATCACCATCATCATCATCATCATTGTCATCATCACGTCATCAGAATTCATCTGCCTAACCTTACAAGTGGTGAGTATTTTGTTTGTTCATTATTTGTTATTAAACCATAAACCATGTTATTAAACAATAAACGACGTTTTCATGTGTCTTACGATTGTTCGTGGTTCAACAGGTTAAGGAAGCAGTACTGTTAGGCTAACAGGTTAAGGAAGCAGTACTGTTAGGCTAAGTAAATGCTATTATATTTCCTTACTATATATTTGCGCATCAAAACATTCGCAAACACTACAGTACAGCATTATTATATTTCCCTACATCATATCTGCGCACCAAACATTCATGAATTTTTAAGATTCGCGAGGTTCTTGATCCCTAGCCCTTGCGAATGTGGAGGGCCTCCTGTACTGTATAAATCTTGAAACAATGTTAATTAAATTGCTTATACCATAAACCTGATGTCAGGGCTACTCTACTGAGATGGAAAACTTTATATTAAGGAAAAAATCAATGTATGGTATATAAATCCATTGCCTACCTTGTAACTTTTCATTGAGGAAAAGAGCATTGCTGGAGAAAACCTATGCTCAGGAGATACCTGGTCATCAAATTTTGAGCTCAGAGGAGTTTTGAAAGCTAAAAATTTACCGCCAATAAGCAAAGTGCTTTTGCGTGGACAGTGGAGCCATCGAGGAGGTATAGGACCAGGTTCAGGTCCAAATCTGTCCCCTCCTCCTCCACCCGACATCTAGAAAGAGTAAATGATAAAAATTAAACTGTCACACTCATATGATTACTGCATGCAGCTAATAGAGGCGAGTAAAAATAGATGACTGCTCCTCGGCAGATTTCAACCATTAATTTTAGTTGGTTGTGCAAATGGTAAAAAATGCAGCCTAACCTAATCAAACCCACCTAACCCAATTTAAAGTAACCTAACATAACTTAACCTTACTCTGCTATCAGAATTAGTGAGCCTTTGTTTACATTTTGTCAGGTGTGTGAAAAAACACAAATATTGGTTATTCTGTGGTGTTCATAAGACAAGATATGATCAAATTTCTTCAGATTTTTAACCCAGGGGATGGTTAGCCACCCAGAGTGACGCCAGAAAGTCAGTCCATCATAGAAGACTGTTTGTCTCATTTCCATTTGGGTTCTTTAACCCTTAAACGGTCCAAACGTATATATACATTTTTTCAACATCTGAAAGTATGTAAAAAAATGTAGATCTTTTTTGTTTTACATTTGAAAACGTGTCAAAAAAACTTTTATCTACATTTTTTTTTGTTACATTTGAAAATATGTTAAAAAAAGTAGATCTACTTTTGTAGCACTACGAATTTGAACGTCTTTTTGTTTGGACCGTTTAAGGGTTAATCTTGTCCTCCAGGATGCAACCCACAACAGCTGACTTAGAATTTGCTGCCAACTGAGCCATGTAGGTTGGGATTTGCAGAATCATAATAACATGACTGTAAACAAGTCAGAGAACAGCTGGGGCCCAAACCCATGGAAGGTGAGGTCAAACTCTCAGGCCAACATGAACCAGTGGCCTGCAAGGTTTAGCACTCATCTGCCATGAGTTTGAGCCCCACCCACTCTTTGAGATTTTATTAAGTTGTATGTATTGTAAAATGTGGGTTCAGCAAAGTAGTAGTCACAAACCATAGGCATAACACTTTTTTGTCAAATATTATCCAGTTCACTGGGGAAATAGTCCTAAAACTAGCAGGGCAGTGTGCTAACTACTGTACCAAGCTAGCCTAATAAAACAAGTGGTTAATGAAACAAACCATACCACAGGCAGGGCTAGAACCTGTGAACAGAGTCATAAAACTCCAGACTGACGTGTTAGCCACTGGGCCAGCTGGCTACAAGCCCAGTGACTAACGTGCTGGTCTGGAGTTTTATGAGTCTCAGATCGCGGGTTCTATCCCCACCCATGGTATGGTTTGTTTGCAATTGTGTCATTATGATTTCGTGAGTCACGAAGTGGTTAATGGACTGGCCTGCTGATTAAAATCATTTAAAATCAGGCATAATTACAGATAATACCACAGACCACTCCCCTACTTTCCTCATAACAACTCTTGGTAAAATACCCCAAGACACTACTAAAGTCACCTTCAGACTTCACAATGAGGCAGCCATTAATAACTTCACAACAGCAGTAACAAACATTGACTGGCACACTGAGCTAGAAATCTACACGAATGTTTTAATAATTTTCTAAAAAAGACCCAATACCTTTATAACAAGCACTGCCCTAAAAAACTAAACAGATGACAGCTAAGAGACTGAACAGTCCCTGGCTAACACCCAGCATTCTCAAATCCATAAATACAAAACACCGATATGAAAAACAGTACAGAATGGGTCACATAACCAGAGACCAAACAAAACGTTACTCGTCAATCCTAACCAGCCTGATAAGAAGGGCAAAAAAATTGTATTATGAGAACAGATTATCCAACTTACGAGGTGATATAAAAAAGACCTGGAAGACCCTATCAGAAATTCTGGGAACAAAAAAGATATCACGAAATAGCGAAAAAAAATTAGCAAAATCAGATGAACCCCAACTCCCACCAACAGAAACAGCAAACAGACTCAATGATTTCTTCTCCAATATAGGTCAAAACCTTGCCAATAATATCCCAAGCTCAGATCCCCCACCAAATGACTACCTCACTGGCAACTACCCGAACACCACTGTTCCTAGCTCCGACTAACCCATACGAAGTCTCCCTTATTATCAACGCACTGAAAAACAAGGCAGGAGATTTAAATACCTTACCACCCTTTATATACAAAAAGCGTCACAAGTACTATCACCAATCATTGCAACACTCTTTAACAAATCCATTGAATCCTCCACCTTCCCTACAGTTCTCAAAATAGCAAGGGGTCACCCGATCCATAAAGGAGGAGACCAAACAGAGTTGAATAACTATAGGCCAATATCCAATTTACACCCTCTCTCAAAAATCTTCGAAAAATTAATTCATAAACGAATCTACTCCTACCTCATCTCCCATAACATTCTCAACCCCTGCCAATTTGGATTCAGGCCTAATAAAAATACTAATGATGCTATTATACACATGCTAGAACATATATACACTGCATTAGAGAAAAAAGAAGTCCCACTGGGGATCTTCATTGACTTACGTAAAGCTTTTGATACAGTTGACCATGACTTGCTCCACGTAAAATTGTCACACTATGGTATTAGAGGGCACTCCCTCAACTACCTCAAGTCTTACCTCAGCAACAGAAGCCAATATGTGTACACAAATGGGGCAAGCTCTTCCGCACAACCAATTACAGTTGGTGTCCCACAGGGAAGTGTCCTTGGCCCTCTTCTCTTTCTCCTATACATAAATGACCTACCAAATGCTTCGCAATTACTCAAACCCACACTTTTTGCAGATGACACCACATACGTCTTCTCTCACCGAGCCCAGTCATGCTAGCCAATACTGTAAACACCGAATTACAAAAAATATCTACCTGGATGGGGGACTAACAAACTTACATTAAACATTGACAAAACCTACTTCATTCAGTTTGGTAGCAAAAGCTACAGATGTACCTCTTAACATAACGATAAAGGATCACCTATCAAAAAGCTAACAGAGGGAAATATTCTTAGGAATCCACCTCGATAATAGACTCAAATTTCATACACATATACAACAAATTTCTAAGAAAATTTCCAAGACTGTAGGCATACTATCGAAGATACCGGTACTATGTTCCACAGTCAGCCTCCTGGCCCTTTATCACTCTCTTATTTACCCCTATCTCACCTATGGAATTTGTGCATGGGGCTCAACAACAACTAACCATCTCAGACCACTAATTACCCAACAAAAGGCTGCAGTTAGAATGATAACAATTCTCACTACAGGCAGCACACTCCACCAATATTCAAAACACTCAACCTACTCACCATACAAAACATCCATACTTATTATTGCACTTATTACATACATAGAACACTTAACTCTGTATTAACCCTCCCTCAAACATTCCTTGCCAACCTCAACAGAACCACATGACCATAATACAAGGCACAGATCACTCTTTGATGTTCCTCGTGTCCATCTCACGCTATGCAAAAACTCAATGCACATAAAAGGCCCTAAAATCTGGAATTCATTACCTGTAAATATAAAAGAAACACTACCTGTTTATAAATTCAAGTCTCTTCTCAAAGTTCACTTACTCACTCAAAACCAAATAAATACTGAATAACTGAACCAGATAAATTGTATATCCTAAATGTTACTCACAATTATATCACAAATGTTAAACCTAACTTTGTTATTTTTTTTTTTAAATACACTACCTGAATGAACAGCAATGCATGCAACCATATGACCTGTCTTTGTAATACTCATTTGTATTTTATAGTTATCTGTTTACAATAATGTCTTATCACTGATTTCATCATTGCTTAGTTAATCTTAAGTTAATTTTAAGCCAGCCCGTAATGCTATGCATATAAGTGGCTTTGGCATGCTGCTCTTACCTGTATTTTTTTGTACCTCTGTATGTATCCTAAAATTTATAAATAAAAAAAAAAATAAAAATAGGTACATATAAGGACAATTATCATACATAGTGTAAATTACCTAGATTTAAGACTGGCTCACTATGCAACTGGTTCTTGCCTATTCTGGGAGGTACCTGAAGTATACCTGAAGAGGGTTTCAGGGGTCAATGCCCCCATGGTCTGGTCTGAGATCAGGCCTCGTGATGTATCAGGGTCTGATCAACCAGGCTGTTACTGCTGGCTGCACGCAAACTGACATACGAACCACAGCCCAGCTGGTCAGGTACTGACTTTAGATGCCTTTCCAATGCCTTCTTGAAGACAGCCAAGGGTCTATTGGTAATCCCCCTTATATATGCTGGGAGGTAGTTGAACAGTCTTGGGTCCCTGACACTTACTGTATTGTCTCTCAGTGTACTCGACGTGCCCTTGCTTTTCATTGGGGGAATGTTGCATCTCCTGCCAAGCCTTTTGCTTTCATAGGGAGTGATTTTCATGTGCAAGTTTGGTACTAATCCCTCTAGGATTTTCCAAGTGTACATTATCATGCATCTCTCTTGCTTGCATTCCAGGGAACACAAATCAAGGGACTTAACCGTTCCCAGTTATTTAAGAGCTTTATTACACTTATGTGTGCCATGAAAGTTCTTTGTTTACAACCGCGTTATAGGTTAGGTTAGTCAGAAAACAAAACAAGCGTTTCCTGATGTGGGTCTTAGCCACATGATGACCTGCAACTGAAGCTTTTGGTCATCTGACCGAGTCCTTCTGCTGGCTTACTGATTCACCTCTTTAAAAATCTTGGTTATAATTAAAACCATTTCAACCATGTTATGATTTTTCAAGTTTATGTTTACTTGGAGTTTACCTGGAGAGAGTTCCGGGGGTCAACACCCCCGCGGCCCGGTCTGTGACCAGGCCTCCTGGTGGATCAAGGCCTGATCAACCAGGCTGTTACTGCTGGCTGCATGCAATCCAACGTACAAGCCACAGCCCGGCTGGTCAGGTACCGACTTTAGGTGCTTGTCCAGTGCCAGCTTGAAGACTGCCAGGGGTCTATTGGTAATCCCCCTTATGTATGCTGGGAGACAGTTGAACAGTCTTGGGCCCCTGACACTTATTGTATTGTCTCTTAACGTGCTAGTGACACCCCTGCTTTTCATTGCGGGGATGTTGCATCGTCTGCCAAGTCTTTTGCTTTCGTTGCGAGTGATTTTCATGTGCAAGTTCGGTACTAGTCCCTCTAGGATTTTCCAGGTGTATATAATCATGTATCTCTCCCGCCTGCATTCCAGGGAGTACAGGTTCAGGAAATTCAAGCACTCCCAGTAATTGAGGTGTTTTATCTCCGTTATGCACGCTGTGAAGGTTCTCTGTACATTTTCTAGGTCAGCAATTTCACCTGCCTTGAGAGGTGCTGTTAGTGTGCAGCAATATTCCAGCCTAGATAGAACAAGCGACCTGAAGAGTGTCATCATGGGCTTGGCCTCCCTAGTTTTGAAGGTTCTCATTAACCATCCTGTCATTTTTCTAGCAGATGTGCTTGATACAATGTTATGGTCCTTGAAGGTGAGATCCTCCGACATGATCACTCCCAGGTCTTTCACGTTGGTTTTTCGCTCTATTTTGTGGAAGGGATTTGTTTTGTACTCTGATGAAGTTTTAATTTCCTCATGTTTACCATATCGGAGTAATTGAAATTTCTCATCGTTGAACTTCATATTGTTTTCTGCAGCCCACTGAAAGATTTGGTTGATGTCGGCCTGGAGCCTTGCAGTGTCTGCAATGGAAGACACTGTCATGCAGATTTGGGTGTCATCTGCAAAGGAAGACACGGTGCTGTGGTTGACAGCCTTGTCTATGTCAGATATGAGGATGAGGAACAAGATGGGAGCGAGTACTGTGCCTTGTGGAACAGAGCTTTTCACAGTAGCCGCCTCAGACTTTACTCTGTTGACTACTACTCTTTGTGTTCTGTTTGTGAGGAAATTATAGATCCATCTACCAACTTTTCCTGTTATTCATTTAGCACGCATTTTGTGCGCTATTACACCAAGGTCACACTTGTCGAAGGCTTTTGCAAAGTCTGTATATATTACATTTGCATTCTTTTTCTCTTCTAGTGCATTTAGGACCTTGTCATAGTGATCCAGTAGCTGAGACAGGCAGAAGCGACCTGCTCTAAACCCATGTTGCCCTGGGTTGTGTAATTGATGGGTATCTAGATGGGTGGCAATCTTGCTTCTTAGGACCCTTTCAAAGATTTTTATGATATGGGATGTTAGTGCTGGACCCTTTCAAAGATTTTTATGATATGGGATGTTAGTGCTATCGGTCTGTAGTTCTTTGCTATTGCTTTACTGCCCCCTTTGTGGAGTGGGGCTATGTCTGTTGTTTTTAGTAACTGTGGGACAACCCCCGTGTCCATGCTCCCTCTCCATAGGATGGTAAAGGCTCGTGATAGGGGCTTCTTGCAGTTCTTGATGAACACTGAGTTCCATGAGTCTGGCCCTGGGGCAGAGTGCATGGGCATGTCATTTATCACCTGTCTGAAGTCATTTGGTGTCAGGATAATATCAGATAGGTTTGTGTTAAAAAAATTCTGTGGCTCTCTCATAAAAAATTCATTTTGATCTTCGACTCTCAGTCTGGTTAGTGGCTTGCTAAAAACTGAGTCATATTGGGACTTGAGTAGGTCACTCATTACCTTGCTGTCATCTGTGTAGGACCCATCTTGTTTAAGTAGGGGCCCAATACTGGATGTTGTTCTCGACTATGATTTGGCATAAGAAAAGAAATACTTTGGGTTTCTTTCAATTTCATTTATGGCTTTTAGTTCCTCCCGCGATTCCTGGCTCCTATAAGATCCCTTTAGCTTAAGTTCAATGTTTGCTATTTCTCTGACCAGTGACTCCCTACGCATTTCAGATATATTGGCCTCTTTTAGCCGCTCTGTTATTCTTTTCCGTCGCCTGTAAAGAGAGCGCCTGTCTCTTTGTCGCCTGTCAAGTCTTCATGTTTCATATATTTATTTTTAACATAGCAAGACCGTATCATGAATTAAAACTTTTGTTTGACACAGTACCATCTTCAATTTCTACCTCTGGTGGCCTGGTGGTTAAAACTCTCGCTTCACACAGCGAGGGTCTGGGTTCGATTCCTAGCCAGAGTAGAAACATTGGGCATGTTTCTTTCCACCGGTTGTCTATGCTCCCCATCAGTAAAATTGGTACCCGGGTGTTAGTCGACTGGTGTGGGTCGCATCCTGGGACAAAATTGACCTAATTTGCCCAAAATGCTCAACATAACAAGCGGCTTTCTATATAGTAGTATATCACTGATGTCAGCTATGGTCTGTGTACCTTGTACATCTTTATCTTTATCTTTATTATTATGTCTTTGCAAACAGTACATTGAGATTTTATATTTACAATAGTGGGTTGCAATGCAGAGAGAGTCTCTATTATGCCTAGGTATTATGGGCCAACTTAACATTATTGGCTAACTGACTACTTAATACTAAGAATTTTATCATAGTTGTACAGTAGGACAGTAATTATTTCATAGTTGAACAGTAGGTTATTAATTATAAGTGAATTAAATTTGTATAAGACAAAGGATATATTCATATAGTCTAAAATGCTTATTGTGAAAAACAATGGTTCAATTATATTCCTGTCAACAATGGATAAGAGGTTCAAAGTGATTGTTGAAGTTATGATGTGGGAGTACATAGGTGAATAAGTGTATATTGAATATTTAGCATTTAGTCTATGGTGATTAAGTGGCTTTTGAGAAGAGTCTTAAACTGATTTTCAGACTGGGTTACTTTAATATATTCTGGTAATGAATTCCATATTTAATGGCCCTTTATGTTTACCTGGAGTTTACCTGGAGAGAGTTCCAGGGGTCAACGCCCCCACGGCCTGGTCTGTGACCAGGCCTCCTGTGCATAGAGTTTTTACATAGTATATTTGTAGTAAATAAAGATATATTATTATTATTATTATTATTATTAATTATGGAGTTTGTGTTCCATGCAACACATTTCATTTTCCTGTTAAAATCAAAACTTTGGCTAAAGCTCCCGCTCCACACACGGAGGGCCCGGGTTTGATTCCCGGCGGGTGGAAACATTTCGACACGTTTCCTTACACCTGTTGTCCTGTTCACCTAGCAGCAAATAGGTACCTGGGTGTTAGTCGACTGGTGTGGGTCGCATCCTGGGGGACAAGATTAAGGACCCCAATGGAAATAAGTTAGACAGTCCTCGATGATGCACTGACTTTCTTGGGTTATCCTGGGTGGCTAACCCTCCGGGGTTAAAAATCCGAACGAAATCTTATCTTCTTATCTTAAAAGGAAATTCATGAGAAAACCAGTGGAAAAAGTCCCATTATTTAACTTTAACGGATTATTCTACGTACACAATGTACTATCTTCTGGGCCCATAACATCAATCTGCCATCAAGATTATTATCTAAATTTTACATTTTATACATACAAAACCTAAATTAAAAAAAACCAAAGTGTGTGACGTAAGACTTAAAAAGCTTTCATATTGTAACAGGTCTGGGGTAGACCAACACTCTCAGCAGGTAACTGCCCCACTTACCATGACTTTGGACTTTCCACTGGAGATATGTATACCTAGACTCTCCCACGCGCATATATTCCCACTGGTGAGTGATGAAGTTATAATGCAAGTGAAGAATATGAGTGAGAGGAGAGGCAGCGTCGAGGTGCCATCCAGCGCCACTCACTACCTCCAGCCAATACTAAACTTTTTCATTCATTCTCCTCAGAACTTACATCCAGAATCATAACGGGAAGTACCTAAATAAGTTACCTACGTAAGTATGCAAGCAAGCAAGTCAGTAAATAAAGCAAGTAGGTAGGTAAATAAATAAATAAAATTTATTAGAACAATTTTTCACAATTTGGGGCCCAATGAAATAATCCCCTTTGCTTTTAAGGGTTTTCCTATGTAATTTCAAGTGTGCTATGTATGAAAAATTACGTTCTGTAATTATGTTACCTGACCTGATTTTAAAATTATTGTTTTCCCAGAATATTATATATATTTATAATATATTATTAATATATATATATATATATATTATATATATTTTATATATATATATATATTTAAAATTTTATATATTATATTTAATATAAAATATATATATATTATATATATAAAATATATATATTTATATATATATATATTATATTATTTTTTTAATATATATTGAGGGCGGATGAGATTTTCGCCTTATAAAGGTATAACAGTAAAAACATGTACCGTTATGCCACCTTTTTCAACATTTTATCTTTAAAAATTTTTGTCCTATTATGTAATAAAATATTTATTTAAAAAAAAATGTTTAAAGATGGGGGGGTAGGGAAGTGGAATTTCAAAAAGGGTTCAGGGAAAAAATCCAAATATTTTCCTTTAAACCTTTTTTTCCCCCTTCTCCAGGCTATGGGTTTCCCCAATTTTCACAGAGGTGGACCCCATCCTATATATATATATATATATTATATATATATATATTATTTTATTTATTTTTATTATATATTAAATATATATATTATTATATATATATTTTATATAATTAAAATTTAAAATTATATATAATAATTATATATTTTTTATATAATATATTTATTTATATTTGGTGTGTGGTGTGTGTGTGTGTGTGTGTGTGTTTGTGTGTATAAAAAGTATGTGTGTACTACCTAATTGTTGGTTTTCAGGGACCGGACTAGCTCTTGGCCTGGGCCCCCCCGTGTTGTACTCACCTTTTTGTGGTTGCAGGGTCGATTCAAATCCCGGCCCCGCTTTCACCGTGTGTGTGTGTGTGTGTGTATGTGTGTAAATTATCTGGAAAACCCAAAAAAACGTAAATTTAGTGATTTTCAAAGGATCCCTTAAAAAATTTAAAGGGAAACCCCAATTTTAATAAGTTACTTTGACTTTTTTTTAAGTTATCCTAGGAAATTTACATATATGTTTACTATGAAAGACAATTGAAATTTACCCCAAAACTGGGAGAAGTGAAACCTAAAACGTACATATAACGGTACATGTCTTGTAATATTTTATAAGCGAGTAAAAAAAAATGCGGGATCGGGTGTATTTGAAAATTTTTATTCGCATTATATTCATGGGGAAGCGCAAAACTGGGCAAGTCATATAGAAACCGGGGGCGGTAAAAAAACGTTTGACCCAAAGGGAAGGGGAAGGGGTTTAACTTTTTCCCTTTGGGTTTTTTAAGAGCCCCCGTCTCGTGGGGTTTTATTTCCCCCAAATTTTCCCCCTTTGGTGCTGTACGAACACCCTTTCTTTTTTAAAGCACCCGCGCATAAAAATAATCAGGGGAGGCAAACCCCCCGTAGGGGATTTTTTGCGGGCCCTGTAGGGGGGGAGGGAAAGGTATTCAGGCTGAATTCGGGGAAATGGAGCACAGATCCAATGGCCCCCAATGGAAATAAGCCCATTTCTGTTGACTTTTTGGGGTTATCCTAGGTTCTCTACACATAGTTTCTATGTATGATAATTTATGAAAACTATTTGTGTATACCAAAATAAATTTAAACTTACTTTTTCCCTAGTTCAAAGCCCCTCACCGCGTAAAGGAACCTCCCTTGAGGGGGGCCGTAAAATGATTTTTCCCTTATTTCATCCTTGATGTTTTTGGGGGGCTTTTTGTTTTTGGGGAATTGGATCTTTTGCCCCAAGTTCCCCAAATTAACCCTTTAAATTCCCTTCCCAACACCCCCCCCGGCGCGGTTAGTCCTACGGGTTTAGCGCTTCCCCTTGTTTTATTAAAATAAAAATTCCTGTTTACACACACACAAATTTTTACCTTCCCCTTTTCAACATTTGCATGTAACTAGATTGCTAGCACACTCGCTCCACACACAGGCAGTGATTTAAACCCCGGGGAAACGGGTTTGGAAAATTTTAGGACCCCGGTTTCCCTAAAGGGACACCTGTTGTACTGTTCCCCTAGCAGTAAAATAGGTCCCGGGTTGTTAGTTGACTGGTGTGGGGGTTTTTAAAAATGGGTATTTACATGTTTTTATGTCAATGATTCAGCTAGGCCTGTATCCCTGTACATGTACTTGTACTTGTAAAGCCTAGACATGCTAGGGGCCCTTCCCCTTTTTAATTAAAAATTTTAAAATGTGTAAAACCACACATTTTTAAGCTTTTCAAGGAAATGCTTTTTATTTTCAAAAATTATTTTTCCGGGGCTTTCTTGTGGCTTTAATGGATGCCGGTCATGATAGGCGGTGTGGTGTTAAGTATTTAGGCAGAGGAATACACGAGGTAGATTATCATAGTGTAAATTACCTACTATAACCCAACTGGTGTATGAAAAAAGTGCAAAAGGGCCAAGATATAAACATGTAGAGCTCTTTACCACTAACTTGTTTAGTATCAAAACTTTGCGGTTTTGTGCCTCTGAAAATCTTTTGACTACCTACGGGAAAGGCTAATAAAGTATTAAACAAAACATGAAAGATCATAGTGGTGAGAAAAAAAAAAACAAAAAAGCTTCACCTTTTGGAGGGCAAGGGTAAAAATCAAATTTCCTTAAATTATGAGGCTTCACCAGCAAAAAAGGGAGGGAAAGATTATTCAGGAGTAACTCTGGAGGGTTATTTTAAAATAATCTTCAGTCATTGATGCTGGTGAAGGGCTCAAAATTTTAAAGGAAAATTAGATTACCCTTTCCCTCCAAAGGGTGAAGCTTTGTTCTTTTTTTCTCGCCCCTATGATCTTTTATGGGTTTGTTTGCTGATGATACTGTGCTTATGGGAGATTCTAAAGAAAAAAAGCAAAGGTTAGTGGGTGAGTTTGGGAATGTGTGTAAAGGTAGAAAGTTGAAAAATGAACATAGAAAAGAGTAAAGGGGATGAGGGTATCAAAAGTTTTTGATAAAGAAAAAATTTGGGTATCAAAATTTGGGGGGGGGAGTATGGGAAAAAGTGAATGTTTTTAGGGTACTTGGGAGTTGGGGTTTCGGCGGATGGGTTTTTGAAGGATGAGGGTTTAAACATAGAATTGATGAGGGGAAAAAAAGGGGAGTGGTGCGTTGAGGTATATTTTGGAGTCAAAAAAAGTTATCTATGGAGGCAAAGAAGGGAATGTATGAAGTATAGTAGTACCAACACTTTTATTTTGGGGTGAAAACTTGGGTGGTTTAAGCAGGGAGCGAGGGGACGGTTTGGAGGCAGTGGATTATTATTATTATTATTTTTAAAAAAAGGGGGGGAAAGGCCCAAACCCGGGGATTATACAGCGGGCCCGGGGGGGGTTTTGGGAAAGGGATTAGGCTTAATTTGGGGAACTGGGGAAAAGACCAAATTTCCCCAAATCAAGAGGCCCCCCACCAACATCAAGGAAACCTTTCCCTTTAGGGGTGGAGGCGTGGAGATGGGCCTGTTTTAAAGGGGAATGTGTGGTTTTAAATATTATGCAGAAAAATTTTGGGGTGTTTGGGGAAAATTTGGAAAAAAGGGGTGGAGTTAATAAAAATATTTTGTCAGAGGGCAAAAAGAGGGGGGTTTTTGAGATGGTTTGGGGCATTTGAAGGGGAATGGGTCAAAGTTAAAAATGAATGGAAAGCATTTTAAATCTATAGGGGAAGGAAGGCGAGGTTTGGGGTTTGTCTTCGAAAGGTTTTGGGGAGAGGGGGTAAAGGAGGTTTTTTTCGGCAAGGGGCTTGGACTTTCCCGCAAGCCGTGCCGTGGGGCGTGTTAGATGGAGGGAATGGAGAAGGAAAGGTACTTGGGGGCCCGACGATTGTTGGAGTGTGAGGGCCCGGGAATTTTTTGTGAAGGGGGTTTAGGGGAAAACCCGGGTTTTTTTCATATAGTTTGGGCTTGAGTCCCGGAAATGGGGAAATACAATTTCCGGGGACTTTAAAGGAGGGGGGTTTTGGGGTATTGGCAGTTTGGGGGATATGTTGTGTTTTCTTTTATGTATATGCTTTTAAAATTTTTGTTTCTAAGCACCTCCCCCCCAACCCCCGTTTATTATGTGTGAGTGTGGTGAAAGGGGTTGAATGAGGGAAAAAACATTTTCTTTTTTGGGGATTTTCTTTCTTTTTTGGGGGCACCCTCCTCGGGGGGGGGAAAACGGCCCCCCCCTTGTTGAAAAAAAAAAAAAAACTCTGGAGGGATAGTTAGAAGAACAAAGGCAGTTATGTAAAGTTTCCTTCAATAAAGTATCACAACACTGCACAGTTTTTTATTTCCATTTAGGGTCCTGTTTAAGGTCTTTACCAGGATGCACCCCACAACAATCAACTCCCAGGTATCTATTTACTGCCAGGTACCAGGCACATGTTAAGAATACTAATGTACTGTATAATCAATTGAAGCACTAAACCCACATGTGTCATATAGTGCAGATGTTAGTTGATAAACTTTATATACAAATACATATTTTATTTTCAAGAATTACATTATTATTATAATCATAACTAAATGCTAAACCCACAAGGATTATACAACTCCAAGACTTGCATGGAATCCACACTAGGTTCAGAGACAGTGAATCAAGGAACTGATGGGAGGAAAAGGGAAAGCATCATCGACTTCCTCAGGTGAGTAAGATAATAGACAATACTGTCATAAGATGGAGGAATGAAAGTTAGGCTTCTGCTGTATGACGAATGGCTTGTACAGGGCAGCTCATTATCAAATTAATGTGCCCCAGATATAGACTGTTCTACCTGGAGTCTACTTACCTGGAGGTCATTCCAAGGGTCAATGCCCTG